CTGACACAAAGGCTCCACGGCTCGACCTTTCGCCCTCCGGAGTTATGAGGGCCATAAAGCTCGAGTCCCTGGTAACAGCGCCGATGACCAGGGCAGCTCTGGACACAGACAGAGCTTTTTTGGCAGAAAATTGTTTAACTAAAAATAGTTCTAGGGAGGAAAATAAAAGGTTGTGCAAACTAAGCAATGTCTTTTATTGCCTTATTTGGTGTTACTGGTAGTAGCATGAATTTCTTCAGTATGGCCAGAGGCAGACAGCTTCATTGCATTTAATATCAGATTTGAAATGCATGGGGCACAGATAAAAAGTGACACCCAGCGAGGTCTGGGGAGCAAGTCTGTGATTGCTGGTCTGCAGCTGCAAGGGATGAAGGTTAATCTGCTGCAGCTCCTGACCTCCAGGCAGAGCCTGGGATGAAGCACAGCCGTGAGGCACTGAGGCTTTTCCTGCCAGGCGATGCGAGAGCTGCCCCTCCTTGCTGGAGAGGAGGAACCTCAGAATCCAGGTGGCCTGAGGAGCCACCAAGTCAGGCACCGAGCAACCTTTAGCATCGTCTTGCAAAAGTATTCAAGTGCCTTAGCTCCAGAGCAGAGGAGGAGATTGCTGTTCGCTTACCACCTGCAGCTGTGAGGCTCCCCTTGAGCTAGGTGTCCAAGCTGGGTATCTCCCGCCATGATTTGAGTCATTAGTAATGCAACCTTCCACTTTCTAAAATTCCTATTCAGCCTGGCTAGTAACAGATACTGGATCCAGGTGCTTCATAGTTGAGGCAAAAGGTTCACTAGCATTTGCTTTCGTGCTGAAGCTCTTTGCCTTCTGCATAAAATGGGCCAGACATAGAATGAAAGGGGAGAAAACCCCCCTGATTCTCTTGCCTCCTGCAGAGGGTATTTATTTGCAGGGGAGTTGCAAGAGTATTGAGTCCCTATGCGTAAGTTATAACAAGTGGAAAAGCTTTCACAGAGAAGTGACTTGCCCAAGATATCTATTAGCCTAATGGCAAAGCTGCTCTCCTCAGAGGTGCTAGACCAGTAGAGAAATTCAGAGACAGATCCTTAATTTCCTCTAATGTTGGAATGCTGGGTGTGATAAAGAGCAGGTGACTATGAAGCCTTGTCCCCCAGTTTTCTTTCCTCCAAAGTTAAACTTGCTGCAATGCGGCCTGGCCATTCAGGCAGCAGAGGCAGCTGCTGCTGGGCAGGGGGTTGACTGTGTGCACAAAAACGCTGAGGAAGAGTTTCGGAATCTTTATAGCGTCTAAATATTGTGAGAAAGAGCCTCATTCTCTTTAGGAGCAGGTTGTTTGGGAGCACAGGCCACCTGTTACATATGTATGTGTGGGTATATCAGCTCGATGGGATTTTTATCAAGGCTTAGGGCTATGGCAGTAATAAGATATTTCTCAGGAACCTTTCCTTAAACTTTTGTTCTTCTAAGCCAGATAAAGCGAGGGTCACTTACTATGCAACAGAGGGACAGGTTTTTCCTACTCACAAAAAAATTCAGGAGATTTATTTTAGGTTAAATAAAACAAAGCCAAGAAGCAGGGGGGGAGGGGTGAAATCAAGTCTCCAAAAGAAAGAAAAACCTCAGTGATTTATGCTGAGGCATGTTGTGTTTTTAACCTAAATACAGCTACTGTTAGAGCAGACAGGGAGAATTTTTACACCAGAAGGTACAGACAGAAAACACAGCCAGCAACTCTTTCCACGTACATGATCTCTCACCCCGGTAGTCTTTTTGCTTGAAATGAGCAGCTTTGTGCATGAACACGAAGTAAAACTCCACGTGCAACCATGCACCAACAACCGCATGCAGTAATTCTTCATGTAGCTAAGTTTGTCCGCTTGTCTTGCATGATAAGGTGCACATATGCACGCTAATTTTCTTCCTATAAATCTTCTTTTCTTTTCAGAAAGTTGTAAACCTAACAATAACAGCACACACTCTCTTAAAAGTGAGGTTGACACTGAAATCCTTGGCTTAAAAATGTTGCCTGGAGGAGAAAAATCTCTATCAGCCCAAAGGCAGCAGCTTTGGCTGGTGTGTGGACTGTCGCTCTCCCACCACACCATGGGGAGCATGCTGGGGGAAGGAACGGTGCAAAAAAGGAGTGCAAAGGGCAAGAAGTTCTTTGGCTCTGGCGATCCTTCAGTGGTATACGAGCCTTAAGGGGATCATGTGATGGGAATAGAGTGAAACAACCATCTAGCTCCTCTAAATCACATCACCTTGCAGAATCAGTGAACACAATCTCTTCCCTCCCATATATCACCCTCACACCAGACAGATCTGAAATGCAGAGGAGAATTGAGCACTTCTGCTCCAGAGCATGCGTCTGCGGTTAATAACAGATGATCCTAATCACCATACCTGGAGCCCAAGGGCTAACTGATAGCTCTCTCTTCTGACTACTGACCCCAGTAATCTTCTCATTCCTGAGAAGGAGCAGATATTGTGAATGATGGGTTTTAGCAATTGGGACAAAAATAGAACTCCTTTTGCTCAAGGAATTCAGATAGCAAAGTAAGAGAGCAGCAGAGGGGCTGAGCAGCCAAACTACAGGGCTGGGAAAGATCTGCATTGTGTATCTGGCTCTGCCAGAGGCTTGCTCTTGGTGACCTTAGGAAAATTAGTTAAGGTCTCACAGCCTCATTTTCTTCATCTTGAAAAATCAAGATAATAATAGACAGCAGCTCCAGAATGGCATTGTGAGGATACACCATTAATTGGTATTTATAATATGCATCGGATTTTCCAGAGTGAAATGGGATATAATATTAACAACTGAGAAACAAGCTTTGCTGAAACTGCTTCTTTACTCAAAGTGGTCTCATTGCTTCTGCAGCAGCCCTTGAGGCTGCATTACCACTGAAGGGTAGCCTCACCAACTCTCCATTTACACTTTAAAACCTCTACACAGACAGCAGCAGAGTCACAGATGCAGCTGCAAGAAGAAACCACACACCACAGTTGTGCAGGTGCATGTGGGCCCCAGTGGGAAAGAATATTAACTATTTCCTGGCAATAGGGACACAGAGGTCCTTCACACGGATAAAATAATCTCAGCACAGTTCCAGGACACAGCCTGTGTGGGAAACTACTATGCAAATGAATACAAAACTGTGTTTAACGGATCCTAGTTTAAATGACTACAGATTAAATATTCTGGGTTCTCTTTCAAATTCAGTTAAGTACTTTGTGTGCCCCACGTTGTCCATGGCAGAGAAAGCTTTCATCCTATGACTTCCCTTAGTGTTAGTTTAAAGCTTTGTGTCTGGAATGCATAGTTGGTATTTACCCCAGTATTTCAAGATCAGATCCATTTTTTTAACAAGCTAATCATATTATTTGCCTCTCTCCTTGGCAAAAAGTTGCAGCAGGATCATACTTTGTGCCCATATGATACCTGGGAATTATAAGAATAATTCATAATTGATACTTCCTCAGAAGAGTTTTATCTTTTTGGAAGAAAATTGTCAGTTTTGATTCTTCTAACATGTTCTTTAATTACAATTATTGTCTGAAATGGAAACTGCATGATTATTTGCAAAAGTAACAAGGCATGTTTCCCTTCTTTGAAAAGACTGAAGTGAGAATCAGGCCTCAAGTATGAATGTATACATAAACTACATTTAAAAATAATTGTCTATGAAATTGCTTCCACTTACCTGGTTTGATAGTATATTAAGATGCAAATCTAGGCAAAGTAGATTTTTTAAAATACACTTAATAGCTGTGAACCTAGTGGGATTGGCTGAGCTGAAGCTGCTGCAGGAGATAATGATGTTCTGCTGAAACATAGCAACGCTTCAATAAACCCTGATGATGATAATGCACAGAAATAACAACATGTGGCATTGCAACCCACCCACACATCATCATGCATCACACCAAAAATGTCACGATGTGCTGATGGTTAGGTTTCTCTTCTAAAATCACAAAGCTGTCAGTTCTAGCTGCAAAGCTCACAACAAACTGTGCTTTTTCATTTCATGTCTTTGGCTGGTTTCAACTGTAACCAGGACCTTTCTTATTCAAGAAAGGGATGGTGGATGCTCCTTAAGCATTTAAAAATGGGATTCAGAAAAATACTTAGCCATCCAAGTTTCCGCTCTTACAGAGCCCCACCTGAACAGTAGGAGGCTGTAAAATTAGGCAGAAAATCTAGTAGGAAAGAAGTCTGGCACCAGATTTCCGTGCCTTCTTGCTTTCAAGCAGAGCAGAAAGTAGCCTCTGTCTTTCGATTCTATTTGAAATATAGCTTCTGCAGGTTTTCCAAATGCCTTTGCACTTTCAAACCTTTGAAAGCTTAGATTTGGCACAAGTTTCAGCAAAGGTTTAGGGTGGCAGTTGGAATGATGGCAGAAGTGGAATTTTATCTTCCCCCTATGTGATGATAACAAAATAGTTGTGAAAACTTTTTTTATTACTTTCTTCTTGTCTGTTTGAGAAATAAGACAACACATTCATAATTGCTTACCTTCAAGAGCTTCCACTTTTCCTACCACTGGTGGAGCTAAAGTAAAGATAAAAAATTTTAGGAAAAACTGCTTGAATGGATCAGGCTAAATGCAGAGAGGGCCTGCCTGTGTTAAGGTTGGGGCCTCGATGGAGTTTTGGTTCCTATAGACTAAATTTTAACTTTGATAACATCAGCTACTGCTTACCTCTGCAAACACCTACTTTCAATAGGTGCTTCAACTCTAAACATCAAAAAAATCCCATTTAAGCACTCTTAAAGTTCTATATCTACACATGCTTACTAGCACTTCAGTGTTTGTAGGTCAGAGAAGTGCAACTTCTACCCCACATCGAAGGTCAATGGAGATCCAGACACAAAACATTTCTTCTCTCTGTTATTCTTTCCTTTTCCCTGCTGGGCTGGATGATGATGTCTGCTGCTTTTTTTTTTTTTTTTTTTTCCCCTCAAAGCAACAGTGACGATGATGATTCTGTGTTTTCACACAAGAGCTTGGCAGTTGTGACAGTCTTCCCAGGATATACATTAGATGCCACAAAGTAAGGGACAGTCTCAAACATGATTAAGTCCATTAGGACTTCTTCCATCCTAACCAAGGGGAGTGCTTCCCTGCTGTCATTTCATATTTCCAAGGTACTGAGGAGAGGGACATAATTCCCTTCTGAAGGGCTTGAAATTCTTATTTCCCACCTCCCTAGAAAGTGTTATAAAGATCAGGGGAGAGGCTCGGGTGGGACATTTCTCCTCTTGTAGGTCTTCCAGGAGGGAAAGGAAAGAAAAATGGACTCACTATGTCAGGGAGAGGAAGAGTGGTTATGGCTATGATGCCTACTGGCTAGGGTATTTGCTAGCCAGAGCCTCGGCTTCCTCACCCTCCCTCAGGATTGCTTCTGCATTTTGTGCCAAGCAGCTGTTACATGAAGTATCTAAACATCAGCATGTGGAGCCCAGGATGTCCCTTACTACCTGAGTGCAAACTAAATGCTTATGTCCTTTCCTCTGGTCTCATTAATTTCTAATTCTTTCCTAAGGTTGTCTTTACAACAGGAGAGCTTGGGAGTATCCCCAAATCTCTTGTCTAGTGGCTGGAGTACTCTAAGCAGCTGTGGCTTTATGTGGGGTGGAGGGGTGGGAAAGGGTAATAGCAGGGCTTCGCTGCATTTCACACTTCTGGCCAGTTGCACCTGCTGAGATACCACACACGTGAATTATGTGATGTGACAGTGGCCATGCAACTGTGCACTACATATTTCCCTCTGCACTTAGATCAGAGCTGTGTCTGTCCCTGCCTCCTAGGAGATGTGAACCTCCTCAGGGTCCTGACTTCTGCTCCATGGGGCTGAAAATTCGTTATTGCAAAGCCTGGCCCTGCAGTGACCATGTTTCTCTTTTGGACCCAGCAAGTATCATGTGGGAGCGAAGCCTGCTTATATTTTTGTGCTATTCAATGGGGTTTTTTTTAGGTGATACTGCCAGTAATAACTGCAGTGATGGGCATTTAGTTGTGGCAATGATATTTTGTTATGGGAATTCCCATCCACTGCTCACCAAACTGAGCCTGCAGGTGTCACATCACAAAAGCAAGTCAGCACTTCCTCAGCAGTAAGAGCTTTGGATGGCTCTTGTGCACAGACAGGTTTAAAACCAGGGAAGAAAGGGGCTCACAGACCCCATTACTGGTCAACAGAGCCACTGATTCCTGAAGCATGGCTGGCACACAAATACAAAAGTAGATGTGATGCAGTGCATGGTCTTCCTAGGGAAGATTTCGGGAACTTCCCATACTGACGCAGGCTGCATCTCCTCCTTGTACATACTGTCAGGGGAAATGGAAGACGTGAAACACCAAGGGTGGGAATTAGGACTGTGTTTTCATTTCCTCTTTCTTGTTTGTTATTTAGTCCTTCTCTAGTAAAAGAAAAAAAAAAAAAGACAATAACAAAAAACTCAGCTGCACCTGGGTTTTTACATAAATGTTCTGTTGCACTTAAACTCGTTCACCTCCTGGCAACACTGAACTCCAGAAAATAGAGCACACTCTCTCTTTAAGAAAGACTGCTCCCTGCCCAGCTGTTGACTTGCCTGAAGGTGAGACCTCTGCTTAAATTCATGGCTCCAGCTGTCAAAAGCAAAGAAAAGCAGCTTTTCCTTGGCGGCTCTCTGCTTTGGGTAGTATTTGACATCTTCCTCAGTCAGCAGAATTTAATCAGCATCAAGTGCCCACAGCGCTCAGCTCCACCACCGCTGGGCTGGGGCTGGGGAGCCAGGTCTGCAGAGGGGGAGAGTCCTCAACACAGCAGGCACAAACAGACACAGGCACAATCACCCATTTCTATAGGAAATCCAAGGCTTGTCACCATCTAGGCTGAGCCTCATTATACCCTTTGACTTAAAAATTGCTGTTATCGTGCAGTAACCTTACCCGGCTTAGGCTCTCCTGTGTCCTGAGCAGCTGAGAGCAGTAAATGGAGTGAGTTATTGACAGCTGACAATGCTACTGATTTCCAAAAGAAAGCCAGTAAAATGGGCTCAGGGATATGGTTTCCCAGATTTGAGTGAACAAGTAAAGCCAAGGGAGCGACTCCTGGGATTGCCATGCCTGCTTGTCTTCCTCCTAGGGAGGACAGTGCCTTCAGTTATTGTCACATGTAAACAAACTAAATGATCCAGCTCATGTAGCAAAATTGTTAAGCCAAGCGCCTAACCTATAAATCCCAGCATCTTACGCATTGACGAACTTCAAACGGTCGGGTCAGACTGGTGCATGCAGATGTACATGCAGAGTATGGACCTGCCACAGCAGGAGGGCATTTGTTTGTCCCCAGCACTGCCACCTCCTTCCTGCAGCCAAGCCCCAAAGTCCCGCAGAGATAAATGCACTGGAGAGAGAGCAGGATAAGGTGGCAGCTAGGGAGGCAGTGGTGTGGCAGTTCCCCTTCCAGGTTTCAGCCCAGTGACGATGCGTGCTGAGCTGGCCGCTTCCCTCCTGCTGCGCTGTGCCATCGCTGGGGAGCCAGACCCTCATTTTGGGGGGCTCAGTCAGTGCAAGACGGCTGCTGTTACAGCAGGAGTGTGAACGGGGTGTTTTGTCAAGGGGACTTTGTGTTAGCGCTTACCAGTTTAAAATAACCTATTCACAGTAAATATTATCTGCTATGTGTTTTCAACACACAAACTCCAGACGTTCCTATACGTGTAGTTCATTTCTAGCACCTGCAGCTGTTACCCATTTCCTGGCAATATCATCGTGCCCATTGAGGAGAGGAAGGATATGTTGGGTTGTTGGGTTTTTCTTAATGTTTACCTCTTCCACCTGTTTGATATTAGCCTGCATAATGGCACAGAGCTAAAGCAAAGGCGGGGGCTGCTGGAAGCAAACAGGAAATGAAGCAATACCCAAGGTAAGGAGGCAAGGGGCAGCAGGGCTCTGAGGAAACTGTGGCATGGGGTATTAATTGGGGCATATCCACTTGCCTTGAAGCAGAGGGGTGATTTAGTTCTGACCAGATCCGAGCTGGGTATCAGAGGGGTGGTAAAGCACTGACTGCCCCCAGCTAGAAAAGAAGAGGGGTGAGAAAGCAGGAGATGCTGTGAATAGAGGTGGGAGTGCAGGTAAAGGCTTGCTGCTTGGGGAGGGGGTGGGAGCTCACAGGTGCATTGCAGCCCAGGAGCTTGACAGTGATCAATGTAGAGTTCAGGCTGTGAACTGTGTATGCTCGCAGCCTGTAGCCATGAATGTGGTGTGTTTTCCCCCCCTGTTCCTTTGTATTTGGGGAATGAACTTCATAAAACCTGCATTCATCCTTTTTGCTCAGCCACATGACAAACTTCTACTGAACTGTGTCCTGAAGGGGTGATGCAGCCGCAATAACAAGATCCCTCCTGCTCCAGTCATTAAAAACACTGCATTTCTCATTTCCCAGCACGGGGGGAGGGGACCGAGAGCAGCCGAGGAAGCAAATCCCGCTGAGGATACTGTTACAATACGAAAGAGACCATTAGCCCAGTGCATTTACCTACAGAACTTATCAACAAATGTCCTACCAAAAGACACACTTTTAATCTTACCCTAGTATCGCTTACCTTTCTCAACATTTACCTTCAAAAAAGCTGTTACTGATAAGCAAAATTAGTGTTTCTTTCCTTCTTAAAGCTCTCTATTTAAAACTTTGCAGTGCTGAAGGGCACAATGCTGATTGCTGATCTCGTAAAGCATCTGGAGTCTCTTCTTCTCAAATGATATCCCCCTTATATGAACAGCTAACTGAAGACATCTGTTGGATGTAATTATCTGAATGCTGCACATTTGTTTTATATGTATTATTTTCTATATTACTTGGGGATAATGTAGCTAATCATGTTTTTCTGACTGATACTTGTGAAGGTGGTTTTCTACTGTCAACCAACTTCAGTGAGTGGTCAGATACCGTTTGTCAAATTTCTGGTAAAATTTTGTTATTGATTAATGATGTAGAGGTGTGTGTTCAATTATTTTAATAATACTTCACCGCCTCCTGTAACTAGAAGAGGTGAAATGCACGCTCATGTTCAGATCCTTAGCTTTCATTCACTATAACGCAGTTTCATGGCAGGAGGTGAACTCTGTTACAAGCTTTACATCTGTACTGTAAGGATTACCTGCTGTATAGCACTCTGCTTGTGGGAAATGGGCCAACTAATAATGTTGGATTAAAGAATGGATGGAAATGACCAGAATATATTTTCTTTTGGAGTCAGAAATATTTTGCTAGAAGTTCTAAAATTTTCATTAAGTTTTTTGACAGCAACTCACACCGACTATTTTATAAAATACTAGGGAAAACACTTTCAGCAAATGTCTGCAGAAAGCTTTTCTCTACCAACTCCATTTTATCTGTTTTCTAAAAAAAGGCCCTATAGACTCTGACACAGCCAAGTTGCTGTGGCTTGCTAAAATACCAGTGTTAGCTGAACCCTGGTAACTGTACAAACACGTGCTTTTAGCTGGGGCAAACACAAGATAAATGACATTAACTTTTCTCTTGGGTATAAACGAACATATTTCACCTCTCAGGAGGAGATGTGATTGCAGGTCAGGCAGTGCAGCTCAGCTGATGTGCAGTAACTCGCTAACTGAGGTTAGCTTGAAGACGCATCTCAGCTTGGTGTCAAGCCCTGGTCCTTCCAAACAAGGACAACAAGGGTCCTTCACTCGTGCCTGACCTGGTGAGCACAGAGAGAAAGCGTATTATTAGTGTTATTTAATTTGCATTACTGTGATACTTAAGAGCTCCGGTTTGGATTAGGACTCTGTTGTGCTAGGCACTGTATAAACACACATGAAAGCATGACACTGTCCTCAAGAGCTGTCTGCCTTATACAAACACACATGGGAGTCGGGTACGGTTTCACGCTGAAGTTGGGCTTTGTCTTCCTTAGTGCCTTGTGCTGTGCCAAGCATGTTGTCAGCTCTTGCAAACCCTCCATATCTAACAGCCCACACCTCAGCCTGCTCTTTGCTGAACTGGTAACTTGGCAAGTTCTCGTGTTTGTGTAGTATGCAGTAGGTTACCCAAAAGGATACTTGAGGCCAAGCTGCGACAGACCATGTGAGTCTATTTTAAGGGCAGCTCAAAAAGGACCCCACGTATT